GCAGCAGGGAGCACCAGCCATGTGGCAGGGGCCACTTTTCCCAGGGCTCCTTCCTGGTGCGGAGGAAAGCAGCACCCCCCCCGTCATGTGCCGGCACCCCATGCTGCAGCCGCTTACAGTCTGTGCAGGGCTGTCTGGAGGAGGCAGCCCCTGTGCTCAGCACCACCTTGTAACCTGTCCCCGCTGCCAGACTGGGCCCCACGCTGGCTCCAGGCTTACCCATCAGGGTTGTGCATGGCGACAGCATCTGTGGCCCCCCTGCTTGCCATGCCAGGCAGTGTTTGCCACTGTTGCCTCTGGGCTGCCCAGCACGCAAGCTCCGGGAGGGCAGTGTTGGTACGGCAATGTGGTGGGGGGGGGGCACAGCTGCTGCCGCTGACGGGCAAGCCCGGATCCAGCTTGGAGCCCAGGCTGGCAGCAGGGCTGGGTTACAAGCTGGTGCTGAGTGCGGGGAAAAGTGGACCCTCGCTTGCCCCATGACCAGCACCCCGTGCTGTAGCTGCTTGCAACCCACATGGGGCTGCCTGTGCCTGCTCCATAGAGTGCCTGCAGCAGGGAGAGCCAGCCATGGGGCTTTTTGCTGTGCTCAGCACCAACTTCTTCCCTGCTGGCAAGCAGGAGGTCGGGGCTGTGCACTGCACCCTACCTGTACTGTGGGGTTGGGGGGCACTGGGAGTGAGTGGGCAGGGAGCCAGCAGGAGCACCAGGCCTGCACCGGTGCCCCGGGGCCAGTGCCGACAGGGCCCAGAGCAGGGTGGCAGGAGCATGGGGTCCCAGCTGGCAGGGGCTCTAAGGAGCCGGGCCAGCTGCCCCCTCTCCCTGCTGGTGCAGCCCAGCCCAGCTCCACGGACCCCTGCCAGCCTGTGCCCTGCTTTGGGCCACACCGGTGCTGGCCCTGGGACATTGATCCCAAGACATTGGGACATTGGTCCCAAGATGGTGACCAGGGGGCGGGGCAGTCATTTGTAGTGCTACAAAGTGTCTTGGCTATGCTTACCCCTTCTGCCCCCTCCCCCTGCAGTAGACATGGGCTACTGTGTGCCAGAGAAGGGTCTTCCTCACATACTACTTTTATGGGTCTGAGTGCTTTCAGAACTGGCATTGTGTGCCTATCATATGCAAATTAAATTAATAGACAGTTTTCTGCAATATAATCTTTGGGTGCCATGAACTAGATTTCTTCTGTTTCTATCCTATGTATTACCTCAGAACACATATATTGCATCAGAGGTGTCTACACCCTGGGTGGTAACCAGCAGGGGCCAGGATGGCAGTGGCTACTCTAAGTGGTTACGCACCGCTCATTACATTTCTGTATTGCATACATCATAATACACACACACACACACACACACACGAACACTTCAGACATTAAGCTATATTTTCTTGCTGGACAAGACAGTGTCTTTTTTAATCTGTTCAGAAACTTCATTAACACTATATATTTCAGAACAGAGCAAAGGAAAGACTGCTTTCCTGTTACAATTACTGCTTTCTCTGTCCTTTGTGTGCAACATGCTCACAAGAACATGCTCTGTTCTATAAACTTCATTAGTACTATAGATTTCAACACTGGATCCTGCTTCTTTTGTGATTATTAAATATTGTTCCTTTGTAAATTTGAAACAGTTTTATAACCAGACCAACCTGATTGCCTTTTATGATCAGGTCACAAAGGCCATGGACGCAGGTGTCGCGGTGGATGTAGTCTTTCTGGACTTCAGCAAGGCCTTTGACACCGTCTCTCACCCCATCCTAATTAATAAACTAGGCGACTGTGGCATAGATGCCTACACAGTCAGATGGATTGCAGATTGGCTGAAGGGTCGCACTCAGAGGGTGGTGGTGGATGGATCATACTCGACTTGGGGGGAGGTGGGTAGTGGAGTCCCCCAGGGCTCGGTCCTGGGGCCTGCGCTGTTCAATTTCTTCATCAGCGATCTTGATGTTGGGGTGGAAAGCAACCTGTTTAAATTCGCTGATGACACCAAAATTTGGGGGGAGGTGAGCACGCTAGCAGGGAGAGAGAGATTGCAGAAGGATCTGGATAGGTTACAGGGGTGGGCAAACAGGAACAGGATGTGTTTCAATACGGACAAGTGCAGGGTGCTGCACTTGGGTAGTAGGAACCAGCAGCACACTTATACGATGGGGAACTCCCTACTTGAGAGCACGGAGGCGGAAAGGGATCTTGGTG